TACGCGCATGCACTAGACCTAGCCCAATGCAGCGAATTTTGCGTAGGGTCGTTGTCCTCTCGTACACCCCCATCCATACAGCTAGCATGTAACTAAATGTCCCGATAAGTCTGGCTAAATTTCTAATCCCCCATGCCGCACTCCCCATCACTTCTATTCTTTAAAAAGTTTTTAATACGATTTAAGAGTAATTTTCACTTTTTGCATAGTGTTGCGATTTCTTTTGTCGGTCCTTTTGAACGATTGTTCAATATAATAATGGAGGTCGCCAGGATAGGTAAGGTATGGAAAAAACAACGACCGCCGAGTTTTATGGGCAATTACGTCAGTTATATAACTGAACGCACTAAAAATGCCATTTGCACAAATTGCATTTCACGATTTTAGCAAGTGAATAGTTTGTTTTTTGAAAAAACATAGAATGACAACAACAATGCGTCCATGCCATTAAAAAATGCAAGTCCGGGAAGGACCAGGCACAGTTTGAAAACAATTGTTTATTAAAAGTGCAGAGTTTTTTATTTACATGTTTATGTTTTGACGAACGGTTATTCCAAGGTTCGTCTAGAATACAGTTTTTTGCCAACATCAGCTAAACGTCAGTACCCTTTACTGACGGTTAGTTGTTGTTCTTAATTATATTATTTTATGGTTTACCAACTACAAGCTTACGATGTGAAATTTAACAATTTTTTCAATCAATTTTTCAAATGTTTTGATACGATTCGGTGGTAGTTTAGCGGTACACAAATGTGTACTTAGATGAATCGGTGCACGAAGGTGTTGAAGTACTAGACTAGAATGTGGCTAGGGTCAAAAGCCGCGCAGTATGTCAGCGTTTAGTATTCCGTGAGCCCGAGCTCGGGCCGGCTAACGGGACTGCTCGGCCGTCTACTCAAGCCTTTACTTTCATCGATCGAACAAACCGCATCGACGGTTTACTTTCCTTTGTTAGTTTTGGGTTCCGTAGACTACCAAATCTGCATATTTAATTTTGTCATGTAAAATATTATGATGATGATATTACTTTCATTCGTAATAATTTGAGTGACGTTTATATAAACAAAAAATACAGCAATTGGCCACTTAAAACGGGAATTTTTAATAGGGACACGTTATAAAGAGATTATCGATGGTGTCTACCTATAAAAAAATGAAAGGAGCATCAAGTGTATGGTTAAATCGCAGGTAGGACCCGTATCCGGAAAAAATGAGACGGGACCACAGAGCCTTTGTATAGGAAGGTACCGTTAGATTTGTTTGGAATGACTATCAAGAGAATATGAAATATGATCATCTATATATTGTTGCTGTACTTCACCTGCAGAATTGTTTGCTAAAATATTAGAGAGGTCCTGTTATGCGTTTTCTTGCTAACAATGTTTACTACTAAAGTGATTCATATATTGTGAATCAACGCGCATAGGAATATACCGCTACGCAAAAACAATGTACTGATCAACAGGACTTGGATTATAGAACTGCATATGTATGCAGTTGTGTTATCCTAGTTTCTTAGAATGTAGAGGTAAAGTGGTGGCCGGTAAAGTGCGTGGAAAGTTTGTGTTGCTCATAAACAAGTGGGTAACTGATATGGGAAAGAAAATATAAACTTCACTGCATGGATCTTTAAACATAGATGTAAATAGCCTAGGCATAGGAATAATTTATTGTGATGGAGGCAGCGACAGACGTGCAATCTGTTGCTCTTGCATTCTTTACGATACCTTGTTGATATCAGTTGGAACTCTCTCTGCTACAATGTTTGTCTCTATACATATGCATATACATACATACTTCGATAAACACGTACATATGCAGAAGCAATCCGTCACAGAGTAAGGTTTAACACACGTTTTTATTCATGCAGCACCTACTGCAGCCCGCTACCGTTAGGTCGTGTCGATAAAAAATAAAGAATAGTGAGGGTGAAATCAAAGCTCGGCGGGATGCACGTCGTATGCAGGTGTAATTCCCATGAGGTGAAAAGATTACAATCTCTTTGTGCAAATGTTACTGAGTTATTTGATTTACTTAACGCAATTACGTTTCCTAATTGCTCTTTGTTATGTTACTTAATGGTGAAAAGGATATTTTGTGTGGTTTTCCAACTGTCTTTATTATAGTCATTCTATGATACAAATGCAAGACAATGGACCACATTTCCAGTTGTTGTCCTTTTTGCCGTCTAATCATTTATGTCATAATTCAGAATATCTATTATCTTTCAAAAAGTTCAAAGCGACTAAAGGTATGAATAATAGCTATGAAGCTAGTAGGTACTGTGTAAGTCTATTTGTTAGAAATTATGGTGCGGTAACCGTTGCCTGGCTGTCCACCGGAAGGCTGGTGGCATAGATATTATAGCTACTCCTATGCATGTGGGACACATTGTCATCGATATTTTTATAAACACGTGCTACTGCACTTCCTCCAACTTTACTTTCATAACTTATACAGAATAATAAATAGTTTATTACGTTACGCGGCTGGGAACACTCGCGTTACTTCGCATTGCAGCAGTTTAAATGCAAGGCTCGCCTGCTTTGCATGTACATTTGTAAGTTGATATCTCTTTCTCGGTAGTTAAAGCTGTTCGTTTTTATTAGCTTACTTTGATGCTAAGAATAAGTGAATCATCTATTCTATTATTTTAATGTACTAAAACATTTTATGGCTGGAGAGTTACGATGTAGTCAATTTGTTTGATATTGTTTTGTCCGATATTACAACAATGTTTTTCCGGGTTGTAGCTTTCCAACAAAAAGTAAAGTATTAACATGTCGGTAAGTATGAAGATAAGCACTGAAAACGATATCGTGGTATGTGTGTACAGAATCAGTGCCCTGTCATTAATAAAAACAAACAAATCGTCATTGAAAGTTAAGGTCATATGTTGAAGGGACGAGTCAGTCGAGCGAGAAAAAGGTTATTACGTTATTACATAATGGGTGCGTGTGCGCCCGGGGCACGATACGAAGGTACCGTTGTACGAACAGGTTCCACGCATTACAGCGCCCTCCCCCCCCCCTTACCCGCGCATGCATCGCCCGCCACGCGCATGCGCCTGCACTCAACATTTACTTTCTACCCATCAAGGACCTTCCTGCCTGGCCCGTGTCAACACTAAATTATATGAAAAGAATCCAGTTTGGTGTCTGCCGCGTGTCCTGTTCCTCTGCTTAGGATCGAAATGGAATTCTTCCTTTATGCATCCCAGCTACGGGTTGTGGTATCATTATCCCAAAAAAATTTCGTCTAATCCACAAATAACATTTTCATATTTAGAACAGCATGTCAGGATTTGTTAAATATCAAATCGTTCTAGATTTTTTAGATAACAAATCTTCATTGCTTATGTAATTGGGTGGAAATCCTTTAAGTTCACGAAAAAACATTTACATACGCTTCCGTCACGAATTTTCAGTCTAAATCTTAACTGTATATATTTTCAAACCATTGTCAAATCATTATTGACTTTATAGTCAGTGGCGTAGATATAAAAATCGCATGAGCGAAAGCATTAAGAAGTGGGGCTGAGTCGCGAGCGCGCGGTTCAATGACCGAGTTTTCACGGGTTTGACAGCCTTCTGTTATATCATCGGTCGTTGTCATTGTCATTGCCGAAACCGCGGCGAGTGGCGCGCATGCTAATTTGTAACTTTTGCGCTTGCGATTGGAACCACTTTTGCTTGTAGACATTCGTGTTTTAAATTATTATTTTTTGGCTTACGTTTACATTAGTGTGCGTGTCCATGTAATACTTTAAGACTTATTTATGTACTTGGTTCCCATCGTTTGTTCTTTCATTCAGTACATATACGCTTAAGACAAATAAGTTCGATGCATTCGAGTTTTGAAGGTCATGAAAGATGGACAAGATATATTATGATGTAACTTATTGTATCCGATTCAAATATATCTTTTATACCTATTTTATTTATCTTATGTGTTTTTGTAAACATAGAATTAAATAGTTTACAAAGCTTTTAAGAATTTATTTTCTAATTTACAATAAACTAAATACGTTTGCGTAGGTCGTGACAGATGGCAGCCTGCAAATTATTTATCAGTGATTTGAATATGTCTGTGAGATAAAAAATTCGAGTCTTGAAAAAAATAGACAAAAACAGTAGCAAGAAAACAAAAATAGCCGAATGGCATCAAAAAATGATTAAATGATTGTTGCATGAATATAATCACTGCATGGATTACGTAATTTTCGCGTAGGTAGATTACGTCACGTGTGTTAAAATGTTCGCCTTGAATTTGAACCTGGCAAGTTCAAGGCTTTGTTTTTGCGCCTGCGCACCCAGCATCGTCGCAACAACAATACTTGTCTGTGTGTGTGTTAGCCTTGCATGTTATGATTTTTGTAATTGCCGCTCAAAAAACATTGGACGCTTCTTCAAAATTACTGCCAACTAACGTTGAATAGGTAATCGTTTGACCAAAAGTATTGAAGTATTGTTTTTGACAATGTATTGGGCAATGTGTTTATGTTTATTTATTTTATTTTATTTTTATTATTATTTAGTTTATATTAGATTGTTTATTATGATCTATTAACATGTTAATGTGTGGTGTTGATTAATTTGTTAATTAAAAATATTATTACATTATGATTATTTGGTTAATAAAGTATTATATATAAGAGGTTTAAAAGTTATTAATTTTGTTACTTCCGTATAATCAATTCAGCATTATTATTATTATTGCTGAATTGAATTTATTATATTGTTAGATAATTAGTCTGTGGTTATGTAATTTTCTTCAAAAGTATGTCAATGTTATGATAAAGATTTAGTTCAATATTCCATTCTACTTCGTTTACCAAATTAAACCTTCATAAAGTTAATTTATAATCATTACTTAAAACTAAGACGCGCGTTGATGTCTTTTGATGGCGCGAAGAAATCCTAAGTAAGAGTGTTTAGTTGTAATTACAAAACTTAACTTATGTTAATACTAAAAGTTATTAAAAATAATTGTATACTAACCATTAGGCTTGCAGTCCCGATGCGCTGAAGAAATTGATGAAAATCCAAATTGTAAAATCCTATTGTGAAATGTTTGTTTATGTTTTCACTGACACTTAAAAATAAATCCACACCTCACAGAAAACCGTCACTTAAAAATAAAGAAATTTATAAAAATAAGTCTTATCTTGAGATCTATGTTGCTTTCAGTCTAGTTATAAATGCAAAACGTCACTGAGTATCGTAATATTAGAGGGTCATATTGGAGCGTACTGCGACACGGCGTGGCGCGCCGACACCTCCGGATAACTGATAAAATATAGCTCGGTTCATGGTCGGAGACGTCCTTCCTGCGCGACTACCCGTGTACAGCGTCCGCCCGCCTCGGTACCTGCGCCCGCGCAACGCTGCTCTTCCGCACTCGCCGCGCACTCGGGTGAATGAACTGCTGCGCAAGAGCGAGACGGAACACCATGTCTCACCTCCTCCCGCGCACTCCTCCACCTCCCGTACACTCCAATGCCATGGTCGAAGCTGACAGTAAATCTTACTCCTGTATCGACAAGATAATCTAGTACAAGTGTCAAATTGAGTTTTTGCCTAATTTTCACTTCGATTTCGCTGAAACTGAAATCAGTTCAGAGCACTCGAAACATGGTAACCGCTAGGTGTCAATTGGATTAGTGATTGTATGAATGTTAAGAATTCAGACAGTAATGTAGCAAATAAATACAATTCTATCACATATTACAGGAAATTAGGAAAAACGGAACGCGCGAACGAACTTATTTTATTTTCAGGGATTTTAATTGTCAACAAACTTATGTCTTCGAGACATAAGCTTAGCCATTTTTATGAGGAAACCTGAAATAAAACTAAGAGGCGGTCTGAATTCGTGATGCAATATGATTCTGATGAGTCAGTCTCGTGAAGAATTTAATTGGCCTCGAATCGAGACATACCGTCACATTTTTACATTTGCCTTTTGGAAGAAATAAAAACACAAAGTTTCGTCATCGGAAGTCCCGCTGCCGATGCAAAAAACCAAAACATTTTCCGTGATAATACAAGAAATATTTCGAATGCTTTTATGACAATACCTACTGCTCTCCTTATCTCAAAAATATTTATTTTAGAAAAAACCACGAAACATGAATCATTGTATTTAAACAAACTTTTACTTTACAATTAAAAGTAAATCTTGTTTAACCCTAAACTTGGTTCAGCCATGTTAATACAACATGGTCCATTTTGAACGTTATCCATCAAAGCTATAATGTTCTTCATACATATTTTAGCATACCCAAACATTGGAGCGAAACAAAACAGGTATTCAATTTAGATTTTAGATCAGGTTTGTTATACAAGTTGGTCTAGTGTCAATGACAGGATGAATGCCAGCTCTGAGGGTGTGTGGTGGCATGGAGTGACAGTCGCCTCACGCCCATCAGTCTAGCGTGACAAGTCATGTGTCACGGGTAAATCGTTCATTCAAACTTCAAGAAAATCTCTAGAGCCACATTTCATCTCATTTTATGCTGGTTTGGGATTTTTTTTAACTTACTGATGATTGACTGTCTTATTACTGACCAGGTACAAAAATGTAAACACTATAGATAATTTGATTTGGCCACAAAACTCGAGATGTTTTCCCATTCTAAACATTTAACTCAGCAACTACACAGTCTATTAACGAAGCAGTCATATAAAAGTTAAGCTCCATCTAAATATGATCTAATTACGAAGAAAATGTAAAACAAAGCGAAGAAGTTGCTCCGCAGCTAAGATTAACAAATGATTGAGTTGACATTAAATATGCAGACTCGCTACTTATGCAGGAAGGTGACATCATAATGTCTAAATTCCGGTCTAAATATTTCAAACGTCTTATTCAGTAGTGTGGAAGAAATGTCAGAGGAATCAAATTGAATATTACGTTAGAAATAAAGCAAAATACAACGGATGCGGAGGTAGTCGAGCGGTAAAGAGCAACGATCTCTACACGGATTCTCTAATTCTAAACAATTCTCATAGTTCTACATACAACCGAAAAAAGATTTCAGAGAATTTAAGGAAAATAAGGTAATCTAAAATATATTCGCATCAGGGCATCATCATAGCTAGGTATATTAAATAACATAAGGTACAATTTTTTTCTCATTTTCTTTCTCAATCTTTCATAACCAACAACACTTAATAATATTTCGCACAACTTGGCATAAGGATAAACCACACAAGAAATCGTGTGTTGGTAAATGCCAGGTCGTTTATTTCCCTTTGCTGACCGAAGCTGTTAGCAGCAGCACCTGGCAGGTCTCCAAACCACGTGTACCAGTTACTGCAATGCCAGGATAAGGATTAAAATACCTAATACTGGAGTATTGGCTAATCTTCTGCCACTATAATGCGGTTTTGTTGGAGTTGAATCTATTTTGAACCATTTTGTGTTGTGTTATAGTCTCAATCTTTTATACTGTTGTTAAGTGAAAATTTTGCAAGATATAGGAACATAACTTCCTGCAATGCAATAATAATTACTGCAAATATTTTACACTTTGTGTTGTTACAGAAAGTATAATGTTAATCGGTACTTTAGTAATAAACCTCAAATTTTAGTAACATATTTTAATTTTGTAAAAAAACCTTTAAATAAAAGATACGAACCACTATACACAGTAATGCACGACAATAAACGTTCCACATGTCTTCCGTCCCGCAGTTATCAGGCGCAATCAAAGAAACAACAAAGAGGTAACAAAATGTTCAAACTTATGAAATGGGACTTTTACAGTTACGTAAGGCCCATTACAGATATTTGGAACATCTGAAGAATAAAAAATCTACATTATTATGCTCAATCGCAGCGATAATCGTAGGCTTCGATCAAAAGATTTGCTCTACCTGCCGAACCCTTCAGTTTTTTATACAGGGTGGCCGTTGTAATGGCATGGTGAAAAAAATCTAACGGTCCCTTTCCACCCAAACACACATTGCAATGACAAAAACACAATGACATAGAAACTTTTATGTTTCCTGCGACGAAATAGTTGCAATTTGAGAAATGTAAAAAATGTACTTCGTATTCACAATTACTTAAAAACGATGGAACGGCTTATTCATTTGTTTCGAACATTTTTAAAGTGATTGATTGGTATCCTTCGTTTTACATTTGCAAAAAATACTCGTCTCTGTGAAGGTTTCTAATAAATGCCACATCTTTGCGGTGTTACTACAAAAGTACTTTAAGCTTTAAATTACAATTTCGACATAATTTAGACAATGTTTTGGAACAGCGGTACTTTTATTGGACGGATTAAAGTAAATACGATTGTAAAAAGGATTAAAAGTAGAACAATAGTAGCAATTTTGAAACCCGCATTCTAACTTGTTGTGGAAAAAAATAAGAAAGAGTTTTATTACGCAGTAGTCGATTGTAAAGGAAAGGGGTGCGCTCTCGATTCTACTCATTGTTTAGCTACTGACCACCACGAGGGCTGAGAATGTAGTTGTAAATTGTTAGATGACTTTCTCATTGATTTATTACGACAGTAGCCATTTGACACAAAAGTCCTTGTAACGCTTCTTTTCTAACATCCTAATTGTTACAGTTTTTATGTCGTATTGTTAAGATAATAGAGAAAGTAGTTGAAAATGCATTTCAAGGCAAAGCTTTAATACATTTGCACTTCTGTTTATTGTTCTAGACAAGAGTTTATTAAAAAAAAGGAACGCAATTAAAATTCCGAATCATGTTTAGTTTAACGAGCATCCAACTACGAATCCTGTGTGTGTTATGTAAAAACTTGACCAAAGTACCTAACTGGTGTATAATAGACGGTATTAGGAAAAAAAGAAGTGAACGCCCAAACTGGCCAGTTGGAGGCTCCCCTCCACTGGCCGGCAGGACGCGATCAGCGATTTGGGAGCAATGTCCTCGACCTTGAAAATAGATGAACTTATGTAACCGCCGCCGCCCGAGGGCACAGAGCCTTCTCCACCAAATATTCCTTGAGTTTTTGCACGTCCCCAGACGTTGTAATAACCTATGCATGCTAACTTAAATCCTAATTATGATTCCTAGACGACAGCATCACAACAGGCTAGGTATATAATTGCATGTCTTGCAAAAGATAATTCAGAATGATGAATAAGTTGTTTATAACTCTAGATTTGGGAGTTTTGTGTGCGTGTTTTTGCATAATATGCTGAATCATTTTCTCATGTAAAACTCTGGTTTCAGATCGTGTTATTGCTAACTAGATGTAAATGGAAACGAATTTATGCAGAGTGTGTGCTGAAAATGAATTTAAGAGTCACGTGGTGTCGCCACGTGAACCTGTGAGCTGATTAGAAGCTAAATAGGATGATTTTTAAAAATAGAACAAGTTTTTAAAGCAATCATGGTTTAGTGCTTTTTAACATTCTAAAAGATTTAACATAACATAACATCACGCCTTTTATCCCCGAAGGGGTAGGCAGAGGTGCACATTGCACCTCAGTCCCATGTAATAGGGGGTGAGCCTATTGCCATATACCGGGCACAACTCTAGACTCCGTGCTACTACAGAGAATTTTTAAAAAACCCAGTTATACCTTCGCCCGACCCGGGAATTGAACCCGAGACCTCTTGCCTGGCAGTCGCACTTACGACCACTAGGCCAACGAGGCAGCCTAAAATATTTATTTGTCTGAAATCCCTGAAAAGGTGGTTATACATGTGGTACTTACCTACACATAATTTGTGCCTCTATTAGGTACCAATATCAAGTAAAATTCTTCAATAAGCGATGTGAACGATCTAAAAGTTATTACTTACGAGTACAAGACACAGAAACAAATCATTTTCACTCAAACCTTACCCCAAAAATAAATCAACACATTTTTTGTGGGTCCAACTATATCAGTATATTGAATACAGTTCAAATTCAAGTACCTACATATTATACATCATATAAAAAGTAAGAATACATAAGTAGGTAGATTTTTTAGCTTGGTTGCTATGGTGTATGGCGTAATCACTCCTATATACAATGTAAACTCGTTATGATTGAACGAACTAACGCAGGTGTTAAATAACTTGCGTTGTTGTAAGTACAACTATCAGTTGTATTATTTTTTGGTATATTTTATTTACATCCTATCACATACACTCATAACATAATTGGTACAAACATATTTGCATGGCTGAGC